GACATGGGGAGAAAAGCCAATTTCTGGTTGTGGCAGTTGCCAAAGGCCTTCATTTATCAATTCTCTGATGTGTAAGTCACACCTTAAGAGTATGATGTAGCAAGTCTTTCTCTGTACCGCCAGCTCACAATTAATGACACGAGGACTTCTTATTAATTATGCAAGGTCAGCCGGAGCGTAGGCTTGTTTCTAAATAGCTCTTATAACCTATATTAACACGTTTGTATTAATTTACATGCTGTTATGTGTCTCAGGGATTTTGTCTCTCCTCCTGCTTGTCCTGCTTCATCATCCTCACTTCTGAAATCTCTCCCCTGCCTAGATTCAATTCCTCTTCTTTTCCCTCTACCCGGAAGTCCCACCTAGACATTCTATCTAGCTATTGGTTGGTTAGCTTTTTATTAAACTAGTCACAGTGATGTATACACAGTGTAACCAAATATCTCTCATGAGGTGATGGCCTGTAGTTGGCAATTTTCTCAGGTTCTGCCCAGTCCCACAGTCTGTGTTCCTCAAGTTGTACCTGGCCCTGTCGTCCCTCAGCCACTTACAAAATAACCACTCAGAGGCTTAATATTAACGGTAAATTATATAGCTTATGGCTCAGGCTTTTGATGAGCTAGCTCTTATAACTTAACCCACTTTTATTAATCTGTAAGTTGCCACATGACCATGGCTTATTGGTATTTTCACATGTTCCTTCTCCTGGTGTGTGTGTGTGTGTCTTTGTGTGTGTGTGTGTGTGTGTGTGTGTGTGTAGGCAAAACAGCTTGACCACACAACTGCCATGACAGGCTTAGAGGCCCAGACACAACTTCTTTGACAGGCTTACTGGCAGGCAACACCCAGATGGAGGAGAAGCCATAAACTGACTCCCACCCAAGGAGAGCCTGTGTCTAAGGGGAGATACCTGACATTCCAAACATGTTCAGCACCCCTGCACAAATGTCAGCCAATCAGTGTCCTGAACCCTGGAAACTTCGACACCCCATCCTCTGCTATGATAAAAAAAAAAACCCACCTAGCCTAGGCTCTGGGCTCCCTGCTTCAATACTGTGTCAGACAGAAAGTCCAAGCTCTGAGCTTGGTCTCCAGGTGGTCTTTGGGGGTACCAAGATGCAAGGATAACAGTGTTACAGCCAAAGAGAAGCACCTAGGACATCCCGATCATCTTCCTGCTCCTCCATCAGTTCCTCCTCAATTAGTGAATCTCATTTTGGATTCAAATCCTGTTCCTTCTGCTAATTCTGTTCCTTCTCCTCCTCTTCCCCTTGTCCATGGATTTCCTGGTCCTGATCCTGCTCCTTGTTTGCTCTTCCTTGTCCTGCTTCCCAACAGCTGTCAGGACTTCCCTAGGAGGCTCATTAGGGCAAAAGAGTAAGGGATTCTCAAGGTTCTGAATAGCCAAAGGGACCTCAAACCCCTAGAATGAGTGGGCTGCATCCTACAAAGTGAACACTGGGACTTCCTTAACAAAGGAACCTGAAGGTGCATTTTCCTCCAGTGAACACATGTCCCTTCAACTGTGAATTCCCTAGCACCATCCATTCATGTTCATACCCACACCTGCTGACCATTCTTACTCACCCTGACAGCAGTACACACTCCTGTTGTTGACAAGGGCTTCTAGAACACAGCAGGATCCAGACCAGTCCCTGGATTTCCAGATAAAGTCAGTGAGAATAGGAATCTGGGTGTGACTCCCTCACCTGGAGTCACAGGGCTGAAGAGAAATCCTCAGAGACACCTCCCTGTCCTGTGAAG